TTGACATCTGTATTTATAGTGTCAGAGTCCCTTTGTGTGTGAGAAACCAAGTTTCAATCAAACTCATTCTCTTTTTTGAAGTTCGAATTAGAATCAAATTCAAAAGCAGACAACTATCATTATCTTGAGGATTATCTTGAATAAGGTAAGGATTATCTTGAAGTAGATAAGGATTATCTTGAAAAAGATAAGAATTAGCTTGAAAGTAAGGATTATCTTGAAGAAGATAAGGATTATCTTGAGGATAAGGCTATAATAACAAATTGACATTGTAATCCTTAATTTTTACAGAAATTGACAAATCATACTTTTTATCGAAATTAATCTCTGATCTTTTAATTTTTTATTTTAAATTCTGTAAAAATTAAATTAAAAGCTAAAGGGTTAAAATTGAGTTACGACAAAGCTCAACGCTGGTGATGTCGTTACCTTGCACAGGGAAGACCAAGGTGGGTACAAAATGACAGTGAGAAGAAGTGCAAATCGCGCCTAAAAAAAGAGAAAGAAGGAAAGATTTGTGAGGGAAGATCAGATGATCAAGCTATCTAACTGGAAACCATATATGTTACGTAGCACTTTTGTTTTTTGTTTTCGTTTATTTTTGTATTGTCCAAGTTCTTTATATTTGGCTTCTTCTCTTTTTTTGCTCGTGCTCTATCTACCACTTACCATGTTTTTCTTCTCACAAAATAAAGAAGAAGAAGAAGGAATTTTATATGTCCAGCTTAATGAACCTTGTAACTCACGATGTCTCAAATTCAATCATTTAGTTTCTATTTTTATTCTTATGAATGTTATTTTTCTTATCACATAACCACTATTTTTCTTTTCTTTATATTCGTGGCCACCAAGATTTCAATTTTTATTTTATTTTTTTCCAAAAACATTATCAAAATATAACATCTTTATAGAATATTTTATCTATAAACTATAATTATTGATTCAGTATTTTTTTAATATTAATATGCTAAAGAGTTAATATAAAATTAATTATTCAAGCGATTACATTGCATTCAATAGATAAATTTTTTGGGTTATGATTGTTTTTATCATATTTTTAATATTTAAATAATTAAATTATATTTTTATTAATTTAAAAATAAACAAGTTTGAAGCTTTTTATTTAAGAAAATGTGTTTAAAAGTGGCACTGCACAATTCTTCCACATGAATTTTTTTATATGAAAATGATACATTTTTTATTAATGATTATTAGAGGGTATAGTTCTTTTCGTGTCTATTAAGCTTAGGTTCTTGGAAAGACGACGCACGAATCCGAACGGCCCCTCGATCAAGGCATAAATAACCTGCCACCCCTTCAAAATAAAAGAAACTCCATTTGAGCCGGGAAAAAAAAAAGAAACAAAAAGTAAGTGGCATAGCATAATGTCCATGAAAATCCAGCCATGGAAAGCAGCTTCAAGAGGAAATTAGCTACCATTCAAGAAGTTGCATATATTTTCACAATCTCAATGCATAATAATACTTTCAAGGTACTACGTGAACTGAGATATCCAAAAAAAAATATATTTTAAAGTCTAAAATTAATCCAAAACAAAATTTTTTATTTAACTTATATGTTTTTTTTATAGAGGTGATTTGATTGGGTTCAATTTTTTTAAAAAAATAATTAAACTAATTTTTTTTAAAAAAACTCAAAATCGAGCCAAAACCTGTTTAAACTGACCAGTTTCGGTTTGGTTTTTAGAAAAAAACCTATTCGAACCGGTTTGGCTTGATTTTGACTCGGTTTTTTCAGTTTGACTTATTTTTTTCAATTTAGCTCGGTTTTTTCATTCTAACTAGGTTTTTTTGTTTCGGTTCGATTCAGTTGAGTTTTTTTATTTCAAGTTTATAAGAATAAAACTGAACCAAACCGGTCGTTTTTTGTTTTTGTTTTTTTTACTCACTTCTAGTTTTGTAGATATTTCAAGGTAAATTTTAACTATAAACCTAACCTAGGTATAAAAAGCATGTTTTTCTTTGAAGCCCTATTTCTTCAATTTCCTTTCTTCCCACAGCTACCATCCTCCCCCTTCCCTCTTTGTCTCTTTAGGTTTGGTAACGAAGGTAGCCACAGAAGTAGCAAGTGCTGCCTCAGATTCCTCCTGCATCAACCCCTGCAACCCAGGTCTCGTTTCCCTGTCACAGAAGTCCCCTTTTTTTCATAACCTCCACCACTACCGATTTCCAACAAAAGCACATTCCTAACCGTAAAGCTTACAGCTTTAAACCTCCACCGCTACCGATTTCCAACAAAAGCACATTCCTAACTTTAAAGCTTGTACAGCTTTACCAATCTCCTCCAATTTAGATATAATCTGAGACTGCCCCAAAAACAAATCTTGCTTCCTTTCCACCCTCCTCAAACAACCCAGATAAATCAAACCAAGGCTCCAACAATATAATATCAAAAGAATTCAAACTTTCTGGTTTTATTCATTTTTCTTTTATTATTCTTGCCGTTAAAACCACGTTATCCATTTTGCTTTTTGCAGGCTTTATCCATGTGCTCAGTTTTACTAGTTTTTAATATTAAAAAAATAATTTTGATTGAACCAAACCACTTCGGTTTAAATTGGTTTTTAGTTTGGTCCCGATCATATTCTTAAGAAATCACAAACCTAGATTTAGTTTGTTTCAAACCAAATCGGAGAATGAACACCCCCAGTATGTGCCTGCATAACAATACCTCAATACTAATCTGTATTCCTCCATTAATAAGTAAGATACTAGTTGTCTTAATTTATTTTTGAGTTATTCTCTAATTTTATCTTTTTTTTCTTTAAAGTAAAAACTAAATAATAATCCCAAGAGGATTGGTGATTGTGGTAAAAGCTGGCTGAAGAAGATTTCAGTATATAAAGAAAAACCAAGCTGAAATTTTAAATAAATTTGGAGTATATTTATAATTTGTAATACCCAAAACTAAAAAGATAATGTAGATTTCAGGTTAAATTAAATAATTATTAAACAAATTTGCATAAAAATTAAGCTCGATGACATAATTAAATTTTTAATAAGCCAATATGATTTAATAATTGACCAAATTAAAATTTTAATCATATTTAATAATTAATTTAGATCAACTTAAAGGATGTAAGTAAGTATAAAGACTTAATTATACTTTAAATGAATCAAATTAATCACTACCAAAAAATTGATAAATAGAAATAGAAATACCGAGGAAATATTTCGATTGGTAAATTTCTGAGAGATTTTACCGATGAAAATATTCCCTCGGCATATACCGAGAGAATTATAGTAGGAAAAAAATTAAAATAAGGCAAAAAAAATAAAGACATGTTGTTTTTACCAACGAAATAAATTATGTCGGTAAAATCCATTAGTAAATTCATTGGTAAAACTATAAATATTTTTCATCATGTCAATTATAAAGGAAATCACTAACGGAATTTTCCATCGGTATTTTTCAGAGAGCTCAAGAACTATTCACTTTTCAATTCCACTGTTAATTGCTATTCTTTACAGACAAAATCACCAACGGATTGAAAAGTCATTGGTGTTATTTGACAGTTTTTTAAAAAAATTCAATTAATTTAAATTTTTCATTTAAATATTACAAACGGAATCACCGATGAATTGAAAAATCGTTGGTAATTGTTGGTGGTTTCTAAAAATTTTTAAAATTTAAATTAAATATTACTGATAGAATAATTAAAAAATATTAATATTCAATTATCCATCGGTAAATCCATCACTAACGTGCCCCAATAAAAAATCTAGATCCCCTTATTTCACAAGATATAGACTCAGTTTTTATTATTCTTCTTCTTCACTATATGTAAAAAACATCAATATCTATTTTTTTTCTTTTCTTTTCTCTCCTTATTTCCTTCTCTTTTCCTCCATGCTCATATATATCTTCTTCTTCTTTCTTCTTTTATCCTCTTAGTTTTTTTGTAATTAATATGCTTTACAAAAAAAATTTCTCTCCTTATCTTCTCTTGCAACTACATTAAGGTAAGATTTTTTTCTTTTTTTTTCATGTTTTTTTCACTATATTTGTTTTTTATTTTATTTTTTATTTTTTTTGTTCTAATAATTGTATAAATATTGTTATGAGATTTTTTTTCATATGAGATCAATTTTTAATTGATTTATTTATAGGATTTTTGAATTTTTAGCTATTTCAACTTTATTTTTTTCATATGAATTTTTTTAGTTGAATTTATTTTTTTATTTTATTTATTTGTTGCAAATTTATTTGAGTTGATTTTCTTATTCTTTTTTCCAAGCATTTTGAGTATATATTATAGAGTGTTGATTTATGTTAATTTAATTATTTTATAATTTTATAAAATAAATTTTATAAAATATTTTTATATAATTATTGACTGAAATTCTGTCAATATATCCCTTGGTAATAAAAAAAAACTATTATTATCTTTGCATCTGTTCTGTTAGTAAATCCATCAGTAATAATATTTTTTTTATTACTAACATATTTACCGACAGATTAAAAATTACCGATGAAAGATTCACTAATAAAAATAATCTGTAGGTAATTTTGTTGGTAAATTAATTGCTGAAAAAATATGTATCTTACACCGATGGAAAAATTTCATTGGTATAACTATTAAATCTTGTAATGAATTTTATTAAAAAATTTACTAATAAAAAAATATAAGTTTTAGAGCATAATTTTATCATAATGTGCCCTCATAATAGTACCTTAATGCTTTCGAACCAATATCACAATTTTGTTTAATTGTGCAATGTTTCATCGTTCAAAGTATCATGTAAAATCACGAACTTCTTAAAAGTTTTTGATAGACTATATTATATATAGACCATCAATACTAATACTAATTTGTATTCTTACCATAATAAGTAAGATACCGATATTATAATAAAATTTTAATAATATAGCTCAATATTAATTCCAGAGAAACAGACTAATCTCTTTCTTTTTTTAAATTAATGCCTATCAAAACGCTTCATAAAATCCTAAATAATACATAATGAACTACTTGAATCATCTAAATCAATAAAGTACCTCACTACCTTTTTAATTTGATTGTCATCAAAACTGTATATAGAATGTTTTAAGAGAAGCAAGTGCAAACTAGAAATATTATTAAGATTTGAAAATAATAAAAATTCAGTAAATTATTGAATTGGATCCTTAGTTTTTTATTTATTTATTGGACATCATTGCTTATTATCTTAGTAATCTTTGACTCCACTAAATAAAAGGATTCATAAAATTTTTGTTATTCCTTTTAGCAAGCTCTACTAACATTGAAACAATTCTATATATATAAAAAAAATCCGTAAACTCTTTATCACCAATAAGACTTAATTCTTATTCAATTTATATATAAATTAATGAAAATATCTTAAAATAAAAAAAGTTTTTAAGTATAGACATCGTTAAACCTAGTACGAGGAACTAAAATGAATGGAGAGTGAAAGATTGACTGGCGTGCGCAACCCCCGCTCCAGCGTACAACGGAAGTTGTCATGGTTTGGTTCAGCATACAACTTCCTTCGATGTTAGAATACCGCCATTGTTGGTGGCATTGAAAATGGCTCGATGAGGCCTTTATGGGAGGTGGCGTGTGACAATGCAGCTCAGGTGATCTTTTTTTTTTTTTTTCCCCTTTCTTTTGTCTCTCTTCTCTTTTATTTTCACTCTAATTCTCTCCAAAGCCTGTTATTTTGTTTATAAACTTTCTGAGCAGCCAAACACGTCAAAAAAAAAAAAACACAAACAGTAAAAAATTTCAAAACTTTCACTCACTTTCCCTCTCTTTCCCAGCTCCCAAACCCGAAATGCATTAACATAACAAGACCCACAAGAAAATCCTATTTCCCTCACTCCACTTTTGACTTGAAAATTGTGAGCAGAACCTAAAATTTAAACCCTTTAAAATGCAAAGAAACACAAATAGGCCGAATGGGTTTTGTGCTGTGAAGGTCCTGGATAAAAGAGATAGCTTTAAAACGTACCTACAAAGGCAAAACACGAAAATGGGCCTCTCTCTCACTCTCTCTTTGCCCTTGCTATACTTTCTCTAATGCCAGTTTATTTGTTAAAAAATAGTATTTTTTTAAAAGTAAATGCCAAAAAAATAAATTATTTTTTGATGTTTGATAGTATAATTTAAAATAATTTGGAAAATAATTTGAAAAATAACTTATTAATGTTTTGTTTTTCTCAAGTTTATTAAAATAATGAGAAAAAATCTTACAAATTAAAAACTTAAATAAGAATAAAATTGAAAAAATTATAATTTCATAAATTATCTCAAATAAAATAAATAATAATCAAAATAATAGAGATCAAATCTAAAAAATAAAAAAATTAAAAGATGAAAAAATTAAAATAATAATAATAAATAACGTTTTATAAATTATTTCAAATAAAATAAGTAACAATAAAAAAAATGAGGATCAAATTTGATAGATAAAAATTTTTAATAAAAAAATAATAAGGAAAAAACAAATAAAAATTATAAAAATAAAGATCAAAGTTAATATAAAATGATAAAATTGAAAAATAAACATTCAAATCAATATATATATATATATATATATAGCAATCAAAAGTTTGAGAACCAAATTTGATATAATTAGCAAATAATATGATATTTCTAAATTTTTCATAACTTTCAAAAAATGTTTTCTACCTAAATTTTTTTAAAAAATATTTTTTTGGAAATCAAGTTAATTTTTTTTACTGAAAAATATTTTTTGTTGATCAACTTTTATAATAATAAATAAACATAAAAAATTTTAAAAATAATTTTCTAAAAACCACTTTATCTTACAAGAAACAAATATATTCTAAGTCTGAATTCTTTTGACTTGTGTATGTTTGGAGGTTTAAAAATAATTTTCTAAAAACCACTTTACAAGTCTGAATTTTTTTGACTTGTGTATGTTTGGAGACTATAGAGAGGTGGAGATAGTCGCATACAGAGAAATTACTTAGACATAAATACAAATTAGTGGGTTTGTTTTCTTTGTAAATAAAATAAATTTTGATTTTGGATTTAGCTTAATGGATTTCAAATGTTGTTAACCTTTTGGGACTTGGGTAAATTAATTTCAATGATGCATTTTGACTGGTAGAATTTACAGTAATTTTTTTTCATGACAAGAAATTCAGGCCTGTGCGTCAACAATGTATTATTGATTCATTTGCGGATATTAATTAAATTTTAATAAATATAGAATCGATCATCCATCATCTAACACGTCAAACACCAAGGTTGGAACTTTAGGCTATTGTGCTTGTTAATTAGGAGTTTTGGTGGAGTTTGACTAAAGTATCCTTATAGTATTGATGTTCATATGACCAATATGACTTAATTCCTATTCAATTTATATATAAATTAATGAAAATATCTTAAAATAAAAAAAAGTTTTGAAGTATAGACATAGTTAAACATTAAATAAAGTTATCATTCATACTATAAAACCTCGTTTATATATGGGATACGTACAATAGATTTTATTGAAAAGAAATTCTTTTAAATAAAAGATGTTAAAAATATTATAATTAATACCAATAGTATCCACATTAGGAGAACATATTACAATCTTGTAACATTAAAATATAAAAATTAGTGTCTGACATTTAATAATTTCTCATGTTCCATATTATTATATTGCAAATATTTATGAAATGCTCGAAATCCCAAGAAAACACGAAGAAGTATAGTTTTATTTATTATTATATCTGTGCATCCATGCAAACAAGTGACTGGGAGTTGACTTAAGTTCTGCTCCAAAAACGAAGGGTGGTCTGGACTAGATGTCAGCATTTTGACCGGTATCTCATCTGGCAAAGATAGCCACGTGGCTTGCTTTTCAAACAACGACATGCTAATTAATTCTATTTTCGGCCGTAGTAAAAAAATTAAATAAAATTCATCTCTGTCAAAAGCGAGTTCAATTACCCAACAACCCAGATAGCTTTTGCAAGTCGAGCAATATTTATATATATAATTTTAGAAAAGAATGGTTAAGATTATATTAAAATAATATTTTTTTTATTTTTTAAAATGTATTTTTTACAGTATCATATTAAATAAGAAAAAAATTATTTTTTTATTAAAAAAACAAGTTAAATCGCAGCCTCCGAACAGTCACGTAATCTCAAAACTATGCCATACTTTTCCGAACAGTCACGTAATCTCAAAACTATGCTGGCCGGCTCGCTTCACAAAAGTCAAGATCAGTACAAACCATGTGGAATTGATATATATATATAGACGCGCACACACACACACACACACATATATATATATATATAGAAGATGTGGTAAGGGACAAGCCATACTTTTAACACTATATTTCAAGGTTACAGGCAATACAAACTCTGTTTTTCATGAGTAGAGAGTACAAACCACACATAAAAAAAAAAAAAACAAAGTAATAATCGCAAACTAACACATTACCTCAACATGGAAACTGAACAGATCTTTAAGGGTTTAGCTGATTAATTAGGGCTTATAATTGAAATTGACTCAGAGTTGACATGATCACTGAACATTAACCCAATAATTGAATATTCTTCTCTCAGCCCTGATGCTGTATTGCACGCCATTACCTTCAACTTGTTGCCTGGAGAAAATAATCCTATCCCCCACCCTAAGACCTTTTTCGTTCACAAATTGAATCCACTGACCGGTGAATGCTGGTCTTGGGTTTGGATTGTTATCCTGGCGAATGGACAGCCTGAAGATCCACTGTCTCTGTATAGTGTCTGTTGCCTCAATGTCAATTGCATGCTCTCCCATGGGAAACTCGAAATCTCCCAAATTGGCCGCGGGAATTGTCAGCCTATGGGTTGTATCAGTCGGAGAAAGCACTTTAGTAAAAAGTTGCTCCATTTCTAGTTGGTTTTCGGGAGAGATGAAGCTGGATTTTGCCAAGTTTTGAGAAATCTAACGGAGACAAGAACCTGGGACATGCTAGATTGAGCTCAACGTATATTTATAAAGATGAGCTCACTTGCTGTCCACCAAATTCTCTTGCGATTTCGTACCATAGCTAGCTCTTGCAACAAAAAGGTGCAACCTTTTTAATTCGTCATTACAAGACAAACACGTCCCTTTCTTGTAGATCATATCCCGGTGACATTCTTTCCCGTGCTTTTGCTGAGTTTTGAGAAATCTAACCGTGACAAGAACCTGGGACATGCTAGATTGAGCCTAAGGTGTAATTATGAAGATGAGCTCACTTGCAGTCCACCAAATTCTCTTCCGATTTCGCACCAACAGGCTCTTGCAATGAACAGGGGCAACCTTTTTGATTCGCCATTACAAGACAAACACGTCCCTTTCTTATCCCCACGACATTCTTTCCCATGCTGCGATCTCGAACGAAAATATTAGATCAATTTATGGATACGTAGAGTTTTCATCGTGTTTAGTTGTCTACAAACAATATAGATTAAATTTATTGGCATGTGTCGACCATTATTCAAAACCCCACCTTAAAATTTATCAGCTATTGTCGTTTGTAGCATCCCTTCGCCTTTTTCTTTTTCTAGTCCTCTTTCCATAGGTAGACATCTATTCCCCTTCTTTATAAATTCAGCTGTATAATCCCTACGGCACCCATGAATAAATCTTAGAAGATACAGTACCCTATCTATTCCCCTTCTATATAAATTCAGCTGTATAATCCCTACGGCACCCATGAATAAATCTTAGAAGATACAGTACCCAGTGGCGGAGCCACGTAGGAGCAAAATTGCCCCCTTCTTCATTTTTAATATTTTTTATATTAGGATATTAATATAATAATATGGTGAGGGGTTGATACACATAGTTATTATTGTTGACTTGCGTCTTAATATAATAAATAATATATATAATATATGTGCAGCACCCCAGCTCATTTCTTATTTTCCCAAACTTTTACCCTTTTTATTTTTATTTTTTCGCTAACTATTCAAGAGCTTTTTTAATTTTTTTCGCTGCTCTCTTCTTTATGCAATTTTTTTTAAGTCCAGTTAAGCACCGTTAGGTAAATTTTTTTCATTTGTTTCATTATTTAATTTTAATTTTAATTTAATTTTTTTATAATTAATTATTAAAAAAACAAAATAAATAAAAAGGGATTGTTAAAACACCTAAAAAATAGAAGAAGAAGAAAGGCAACATACTTGAGGATGCAAAGAGAAGATGATTTATTTCAACTCGGGTTGTGAACAAAAAAATTTGAAGAAAAAGATAGAAAAATAGAGAGAGAATGAAAGAAGATGAATGAAGAAGATGAAACCTTATCTACTGTGCTCGTGGTCTTTTATATTAGATTTTACTAATAAAATTTCTAACAGGCTATTAATATTTATAAAATTTTCATAGGTGATTCCGTCTATAAAGTCAAAGTAAAATGTTCAATTTGCATGAAAAAATTTAGAAACCCTTCCAAATATTACCAACGACATTTTATTTTGTCATTAAATAAGTAAACAGTCACAAAGAGCACTAATTACCGGCACCTTGGAATTCACATTACATCAGTAATTTTATTGAGAAATATGTACCATAGTCAAAAAAGGCATTAACAGTTAGTGCATTGGAATTTTCATTTCATCGGTGATTCTATTAGTAAAAAAAAAAACATTAATTATCACTGTCTTGAGAAATGAACAATGCCAAAAAAAAAGGGAACAATTCCCTTTTCCTCTGAAATATATTGACGGACTGTGTTTATCGGTATTTTTATATGTAATTAACACCATGAACGGTGTCAAAGAAAAGAAAAATAGTTTCTTTCACCTATAAAATATATCGATGGACACAATCCATCGATATTTTCATCAGTGTAAAACAATGTCTAATGTCAGATTGCATTTGTACTCCCTATCTATCCATCTTGAGTATACTTGAATTCATAATTGCACGCACACACAACATAATAATATCAATTCATATAACAATAATAAAATAAATATTTTCTTGTTATTCAATAATATATTATCATTGTCGTTACATTGAAGTGAATTAAAAATTTGTGTTGTGTAAATTAATTAAAATTGTCTTATTTTTTGTTAATTGATTCATCCAGATAGAGATTAAAATATTATTAAATTTTCTAGTATTAACATTAACAAAAATATTATTAATAACATAATTTTTTTTAAAAAAATTATTAGGTGGAACAACTTGTTATACATTACCTTTCTCACTAAATTAAAAACATCATTTTTTACCGTTAATTCATCATTATCATCGTCGTGAATAATCAATATAACATCTAGAATTGATTTTCAATACGGATAACTTATCTATTCATTATTGATCATGTCTAAAAGAAGCATGTGCGGTATATTTATAAAGATGAGCCCACTTGCTATCCAACAAATTCTCTTCCGATTTCGTACCATAGCTCTTGCAATAAAAAGGTGCAACCTTTTTTTTTCATCATTACAAGAAAAACACGTCCCTTTCTTCTAATATCAGATATATATCCCCACGACATTCTGTCCTATGCTGCGATCTCGAACGAAAATAGATCAATTTATGTGAAGATTATGGATACGTAGAAATTTCATCATATTTAAAAACAATATAGATTAAATTTATTGGCATGTGTTAGGTTGTCATCTATTCCCCTTCTACATAGATTCAACTATATAATCCCTACACTATCTGAACGGTAAAAATAACTAATTAAATTAATTAAATTTTTTAAAAAATCAACAAGTTCAGTTTGATTTCTATTTTATAAGCTTAAAATCAAAAAATCAAACTAAATCGAACCCAAACTGAAAAAACAGAGCTAAACAAAAAAAACCAAATTTATAAGCTTAAAATCAAAAAATCAAACTCGAAAAAACAGAGTTAAACAAAAAAAAACCAAGTCAAATCAGTTTAAATTAATTTTTATTCTAAAAAACCAAACCAAATTGAAACTGGTTGGTTTGAACCAATTTTAATTTTTTTAAATAATTTTAATTTAATTGTTTTTTTTATAAAAATAAACCGAATGAAAAATGATCACATAGGAAAACCACCTACTCGTCTTTTTTACTTGAAACTAAGCACCTTCTATAAATTATATTAAAAATTGTAACAAAGAATACCCTTCTATAAATTTTAGAGATACAAACACATTTTATTGAGAAGAAACTCTTTTTTAAAAACAAATAAGCAATTGAAAACATTAAAAATAGGAGAACATAACACAATTCGTAACATTAAAAATATAAATAATACATCTGGCATTTAATGATTCATCAATTTTTATATTCTCTTAATTTTTCAAGATTTTTAAATTGTAGCTATTTATAAAATGTTAGTAATTCCAATAAAACTTTAACAAGAATTTTTTTATTTATTATTATATTTTATTAATATTTTATTTTATTTATTTTCATTTTCTAATCAAAATAAATTTATTTTTGAAATAAAGCTTCCAGATAATTTCTTTTATTTTATATTAAAAAACTCTCATTCTCTCTCTGTTTTTTTCTTCTTCTTTTTGGTTTATGAAAGAAAATCATGAAATTTTTTTATACAATATAAATACATGTTCCAATTTATATTAACTATGCTCGTAAACACACAGATATATATTGAATGAGAATTGTATTTAAATTACAATTATTTTAGATAATTTTAAAATAGGAAAAAATTAAATATTTTTAGTTAGGATTCTTAATTGAAACTTTATATCAAATAATTTTAATTTAATTCAGTACACACACATATATATATTTCTTAATTAAAGCTCAGACAATTTATTAAGTATTAATGAAAATAATAGGTGAGAAAGAAAAAAACTAGTGTTTGATAAAAAATTCGGTGCTTGTCCTAAAGAAAAAAAGCTAGTGATTGGAAGTGGAATACACATCAGCTCCAAAAAGGAAGAATGCGCCTCTGGGAAAGAGAAAGACACGTGGCTTGCTTTTCAAAAAACGACATGTCTGTCAACAACTAGCACAATTTATAATACGAACTTATTAATGTTCTTAAGCTTATCAAGCGCTAATTATGGGATGTCATGGATAACTAAAACTGTGTGGTTAAGTTTTTTTTTAGTTATAAATTAAATGGTTATGTTATGGTTAATAAGTGATAGCATGTTTGGAATCAATTTACTATCAAAATTGAATTCAATAAATATAGTGGATTCACATCTTTGAAAAAAGATTTTCTATAATTAAATTAATTTTTTTATATAGTACTCTCTTTTCTTTTATTTTAATCCCTTTAAAAATCTCTAAATATTTCAGATATTTTTAACAACAAAGAACTCCCTTTCCTTGTATTATCTGCCATTAATGTCGCACCTAACATTAAATTTAAAGAAAATATAAAGGATAAAGTTACCATATAGTTTTTAAAGAGATTAAAAATTTTAAATTATATATTGATTTCAGAATAAAGGGTTGGTTATACTAAAAAAAATTATCTTTATAATATTTTTTTAAAAAAAATCACCTCAATTATGTGTTTTTTCTAAATTTATTTTATGCATATCATTAACTGTTTAAATTATTTTTTAAACTTATTTACAAGTTATTTATTTTTAGTGGATTGTAAGTCTAGTTAACGTCAAGCTTTAACTCAGAGTCTTGCAACTCAATAATTTTTAATTTTATTATTATTTATTTATTTTTCTTAACTCTTTTTTATTATTATCTTTTATTTCTACAATCATAAAAGTTGAACAAAATACTACGATGAACCCACGTTAATCCTTGTTTTGAGAAGACTTGTTGACTTATTATTGATCTCCTTTTCTATTAAAGATATCACACTAGATTAATTGTTACGATTTAAGTTTAATCAAGATGTAATTCTAAAATGATAAAAACCTTGAAAACTTATTTTTTATCTCATTTTGAGGATTAAAATGTCATACTAGATCTATATTAGTCTCTAAAAATTAAAAAACTTATCGATTTAACTGTTACAACCTAAATTTTATGAAAATATAATGTTATCTTGTCAAAAATTCATCAATATTATTTTTATTTTTTTAAAAATAAATATTTATATGTACATGTATACACAAAAAATATATATATAATTTTATGAAATATATGGATAAATAATAACCATGCATAAATAGTGTAATGTGCATTATTTTTATTTTTGAATAGTAACATTTGCACCCTACCAGCAAAACAAGAAATGAAAAGGAATAAAGATCTAGCCCTTTCTCCGCACCTGGATTCGAATCTCACCATGCACGCCTGTCACCCCTGCGGTGCCTTACCTGCTCACTGGACTTGCAGGATATTCAGTGAGCCGTGGGGATTAGTCGTGGTGCGCGTAAGCTGGCCCGGACACCCCACGTAAATCAAAAAAAAAAAAATGAAAAGGAATAAAGATCTAATTTACAGGGAGGAATTGATATGGTGGCCACTCATGGCGAGGATGACGATATATAGTTTTAGTCGTGGAGTGATTTCTTAGATGATTTGTTTGGTTTCTCTGTGTTTTTTTCTCCTATTTTCTTCTTTCTTTTTATACCTCCTCCCATATTCCACCTTTATTTTAAGCTTAAAACTCCTTTTCTTTTTATTTCTCTCTTTCCCTCTCTCAAAATTTTCTCTTTAAATTCAGTAAAAATTCTATTAAAAATATTCAAAAACCAAAAACATTTAAGTGCAATGTAAGTCTAATTTTATCAATTAAGGATGTAATTGAAAAACATATTACAAATTAAGTTAAAAGCGCAAAAATTTAAGATCAAGGGTCCAATTAAAAGGTCTTACGACTAAAATGAACGGGTATTGAAGTTCTAAAGGCTTACTTAGTTTAATTAGGGGTGAAATTAAAAAAAATAAAAATTTAAAAGGTTAATTAAAAATAAATTAAAGAAATCCAAGAAAAAGGTTCACTTTTCAGCACTGAAATTCAAGGATATAATTGAAGAATATCAAAAGTAAAATTGTAAAGGTTCCAAAAAATTGGAGCTAATTAGATGTCAATTCCAAAGTCTTAAAGAATTAAAAATCAAATTAAAAAATACTATAATTTTATTATTCATTATCTTATTCCTGTAAAAAGTACTGCCTCAATAGCCCCCTTCATGCCCTTAATTCTTTTTGTTTTTTAATCTCTCCACCAAGCAAACAAAGTTCACATCTCCTCCTACCGTATCATTCGCACTCACATAACAACCAAAAATCAGGTCCTTTACAGCCCTAAACTCGCTGCAGAATTCACAACAAAAATGTCAATCGAATAGTCGAGAGCTGTGTATATCCTTGCATTGCTGGTTGCAGAGCTAGATAAATTTTGATCTTCATCTTTAATCAATAGTGGGCCCAAGATAACTCATCTCACAGGCTCTATACCCTTCCTCCTTGAACTATAAAATGGCTCCAAAACCCTAACCTTTGTAGCATTTGAGAGGATCGTGAAGCCATGGTTAAAACTTAGCAAAAAAATAAAATAAAACAAAACAGTACCTCGCAACCATCTCGCATGTCCTAGCCTCCACCTTTCTTTAGCCCTTCAAAAATCTCCTACCAAAAACACAAAAGCCCAGCTCTTCAACCATTTATGAGCTAGAATAGTCCATCCTCACCTCTAATCTATTGCCTTAACTTTAAAAGCTGTGACCTTTAAGTCATCAAAGTCTCAGGGAGGCAGGATCTAGCAAAAGAAGACGACTCCACTGATTTCAAGGGATGCACCTCTCCTAAATCCTTACTGGTGGTATCATATATTCAAGCCTCCAAGTATTTCGTAGAAACAACCACTAAATTCTGCTAAGTTTGAAAGATCACGTTAGAGGAAAAGGCAGCCAAGGTTCTAGTTTATGGGAAAATCAAAGTTCTTAAGAGTTTCCTAGACACTCTATGAAGAAGCAAAGGAATGGGAAAGGACTCTTAATCAAAAGAGTCTGAACACAACAGCAACCACCGAGGGGGGTTCAGAGTAACTCCAGAAGCCGTGATCTTTGGCACCGATCCATTCAGATTCACTGATTCATCTTCCAAGAGTGAAATGGGTTGTGGAGAGTCAACAAGCACCTCCACACAGAAGGGTTTTGCAGCAGCCATAACTATTTGGTCCTGTAAACACAATCATGCAGTCTCCTTCTGTTGTTCAACTGGGCTGATATGAGACTACAAGGTTGGGGTTTCATTTGGGCTCAATCATGTTTGGGCTTCTGTTAGTGGGCTTTTGTTTAAGCATGGGTCGTGTTCGTAGTTATATGGACTGTGTTTATGTGACTTGGGCCTGTTTTCTTGTTCCCTGGGTTGTGTTGGCGTTGGTCCTTTTGCTTACAACTCGTTTGCTTGCATGATTGATTGACAGGTGTAAAAAATATCTCAAATTATTTTAATATACTTTTTTGATTTTGATATAGAAAAGCCCTTTTAAAATAATTACTGCAGCATATTTATCATTTTACAAAAAAAAAATTGTTTTGCTCTTCACAAAACAATAATCCAGTTTCTTTTTTTTCTCTTCATATTTTAGCATTTATATATTTATTTAATATTATCACACAATAGTTTAGTTTAATATTCACTGGGTTAAAGTAAAAGTATAAATATTTTACTATATAATATTCACTATTATTTTTAGTTTAATATTCATTACTATCAAAGTATTAAGCTTTTTATATATATAATATTCTCAATTAAAAATATTAGTCCCTAATAATTTTTTTTTGAGCTTCGTTGATGACTATAAAGCACTAATGATTACCAATCCCATCTGACACAGGTGCTTTCTAACGATTTGGACTAGCATGATGGGAATAAACCTAATAAAACCTCGCTCATGTTATCTGGCTAGTTCCAATAAAGAAGAGAACAAAACTAAAACTCCAAGAGGGATGATATAACTACGACAAACAAAGCATTAGACATGAGAGAATGGCACAATCAAACAGGGGAAGACAGGCTGGTATGTATACTTCGAGGAGGCCTTAAATATAGAAACTCTGAATGATTTCCCGGATGAGATCGATCTGGGTTAGGATCTCAATATTTATCCTATGAATGTTTTTCCGTGATGTTTTCTTGTGGTGGCGCAGTTAAAAGTTCATGGAGAATTTGTTGCTGGGTTCAATGCTAAGGAAAATCTTGGTCAATGAAATACTGGAGTTGTGAGGACGTTGTGTTGTGCTTTCTCTTGATCACCGTCTAGAATGTTCATGGATTTCTAAAGCAATCCCTAGATCAGGATCATAGTTTCCCAAATTGTTCGGTATGTGCTTGATCCATACAAGAGTGTCTTGAGCTAAATTGTTGCGTATAAAACAATGCTGAACCTCTGGCCTGCATATATGTGAAAAAAAATTTTTTTTTTTTTTTTAATTATTATCTCTTCACACTAATCCAAGACAGCCGTTAAAGCATGTATTATTGTTTAAGCAAAGCTTTTGGAGCTAGAAAAGCAAACAAGAAAGATGGATTACAAACAATTCTGGTACTGGATTTGATGTGCAAACTCAGTCAATAAAGGTAGCCTATGATCTGATCGACTTTATTAAATCCAGTTTAATTTTAATTATACAAAATAGTAAATAATATCGTTTAAAGTAAGTTGTATATTTATATAGAATCGGTTAACCTGAATTAACTTCTCCAATCACTAATTCAAACTCTGGATCAGTTCATTTTTAATATCTTTAATCCGGAGCAACTGAAAAGAGAATACAGTGGAATTGTTAAGAGATGAGAGAATTATCGTAATTTTAACAATTGGGAGATGGGGAATGAGCAATGGTTGATGGTTTAGTATCTGCAACCATCATATTGATACGTTAATTACTCAATCCAGAGGGACGACTGTGCTGGTTGTCTGACAATAATAGCTTAGTTTTCTCTAAAGGCTATGAGCTTCAATGGACAAAAGCTGCAAAGACAGTTTTAGGACATAAGGAAATGGTTGAAATTATATAAATCTTGAATTTTTTTTTCTTATTTCCGAGTCCTAGGAGTAAACAAAAAAAAAAAAAGGTGCATGTAGAAAGGATAAGAGAGGGTAGGGTTGCTGCAGAAATCCTTCAAGCTAAAATTGATTGTTGTTCTTTAACATTCAGAACCATGTATAAACCCTTGATTCCTATAAACGCTTAATTGATGTGCCTATATCTTCTATTTTCTGACAGAACAAAAATCTGGTGAATGGATTTTGAGGCCTGCGTTGTTTGAGATGCTTTACCCACCAGAAGGTCAGCAACAGGCAAGTTAATAACTGGGAAATGATCTGCATTACGCAAGAATTTTAGGTTGAAGTTGGGCTGATGATCTTTATCTACTTAGTTGCTTTGTAGGAGATCGCTGTGCTTTCTACCATTATCTTCTTAATACTCTGCATGGACTTTATTTTATTTCGCTTTTCTTGCTGCTGTGTTGTTGAAAGTACCAATTTGAGTTCCCTGTGGTTATAATTGAGCTCTAAAATCTCATTCTATCATCGTTGATCCATCTTGTATGGAGAAAGTAAGGGATCAGGGGAATAAGAAAGGGATTTATTTTTTAATTCAAACTCCAAATTTCTTAAAATTATTTATGAGGTGTGGCCATTTTCTTTTACACACCAACAATTTAACAAATTAATATCCAGCAAAAAGAAAAAAAGAAAAAAGAAAAAAAAACAGCACTTCAATTGCTTAGACATCAGCCCAAACATCCTCACCAAACAATCTGATCTTTCTTTTCACTTCCACTTTGATGCATGTTCCCGTAGCTTGGTTTTTCATGGCCTCCTCATGAATTGAGACCTTATCATCCACTCGAAGACCCCTCTCACGAACAAATTTAATCCAACCCACAGAAAGAAAATGTCCCATACTCTCATTTCTCTTGATGGTGCAAGAGAAGATCCATTCCTGACCATTACCATCGTGAACATGCATGTTCATCGACTGGCCTTCTTGGAATGGTAATGGACCAAGAGAACAACCAGGAATAGACAAGCCATTCTCAATATCATCTGCAGTTAGAAACTTTGAAAAGACTAATGCCATTGCTTGCTTCAAAAAACGTCCAAATTTCTTAAAATTATTTATGAGGTGTGGCCATTTTCTTTTACACACCAACAATTTAACAAATTAATATCCAGCAAAAAAAACAAAAAAAAAAAACAGCACTTCAATTGCTTAGACATCAGCCCAAACATCCTCACCAAACAATCTGATCTTTCTTTTCACTTCCATTTTGATCCATGTTCCCGTAGCTTGGTTTTTCATGGCCTCCTCATGAATTGTGACCTTATCATCCACTCGAAGACCCCTCTCACGAACAAATTTAATCCAACCCACAGAAAGAAAATGTCCCATACTCTCATTTCTCTTGATGGTGCAAGAGAAGATCCATTCCTGACCATTACCATCGTGAACATGCATGTTCATCGACTGGCCTTCTTGGAATGGTAATGGACCAAGAGAACAACCAGGAATAGACAAGCCATTCTCAATATCATCTGCAGTTAGAAACTTTGAAAAGACTAATGCCATTGCTTGCTTCAAAAAACGAAAAAAAAACTTGGGTAGATTGCTTGCTTCAAAAAAAAAAAATTGGGTGGATCTGTGGTGGTACGTATCTATAGCAAGATATATCGAATCTGAGATGTTCTTGAGTTTCTCACTTCACTCTTAAACATGGTATATATAGGGACATAAGCATGTCATGATTCTGTCGCTTGATGTTCTGAGAAAATTCAGTAACTTCAGGCAAGAGAGGACTTGGAAGTTTCCAAACTCAAGCAAAGTTAGACATATCTTTTGCAAGTATATCCAATCACCTCTCCACCAGCATGGTTCTGATACGATTAAGTCTAAGGAGTAGGAATGAATCCCATGTTTCTTTTCCAGGAAAACTCGAGGAATATACTTTGCTTGGATTGATTCTTCTAAAGCAGAAAATTTAACGCGGTTCGTGTTTAAAAAGATAAAGAAAGGGTCAAACCTAGCATATATAGGTACGTTGACAGACGTCAACGCTAATCCTGATTCCTCGCTAACTTAATGTACACGTTGTCTTTTGCTATTCTTTACGTGAAATGGACATCCTACTCTTCATATCACTAGCTAAGTAATCGCTCAATTTTGAGACTTTTTAACATCGTTATCACACCTGAATTGGCACCTGACATCTTGTAGCTGGACTCGTGTGTGCAAGATAAAAGCTATGCAATAACTTGGTAGAACCTATAGATTAATTTATGATTTGGATAAATTTAGATAAGATTTTTTTTTAAATATAGTGTTTCTCCTATAATTTTTTTAATGTATATTTTTAATTAATTATAAATATTTTTTAAAATTTACTATATAAATACTAGAAAAGTATTTTATTTTTTAATATAGAATTTAAAACCCTTTAATATATATATACTTTATGTTTCTAAAAAAAATTATTTTTTTAATATAGAATTTGAAACCCTATTGTATATATACTTTATGTTCACCAAAGAAAAATTATGTTTTTTCAATATAGAATAAAATAATTTTTTATTTAAATACTTAAACTTAAAAGGATAATATAATATATTTTTAATATAAGATTTGAAACCTTTTAATATATACTATATATTCACAAGAAAGAAGTTATATTTTTCAATATAAGATCTGAAGACCTTTAATATATATACTCTATGTTCATAAGAATAACTTTAATATATATACTCTATATTCATAAGAACAACATTATGTTTTTTTAATATGAGATAAAAAAATTTTGGTTTAAATAGTTCAACTTAAAGAGATAACATAATATCTTTTTAATGCAGGATAAGTTTTTTAAAATATTCTTTTAAACTTCATTATTTACAACATATATAACATATATTTGCATGGATTGTTTTTTAATTTTTTTTCATATGAAATATTAAAACTTTAAATACTATGGTTTTTAATTGAAGATTACAATTGCACTTAATTAAAAAAATAAAAAATATATAATAGAAAAACTTATTAATGTTAATTAAAGTCTAAGATAAAAAAAATATTTATAAATAAAAACCAATAAATATAAATATAAATATTTTATCTCATTTGAGCACTTTTAAATATTTTTTATTTAATTATATAAGAGTTAAAATGAAATCTTATAAGAAAAGTAATAATTTAAATTAAGTAGAAAAATACAATGTTTAGAATAAATTTTATTGTTTATATAGTTGTTTCTTTTTATAGTATATGAGATTGAGATAAAAGTTGTATTTTAAATATATTAAAATAATATTTTTTTATTTTTTAAAATGAGTATATTAAAATAATTAAAAAATAAAAGAAATTTTTTTTTGTGATTTTTTAAAAATATGTAAAACGCTAAATCTTTCCTGATCATGTAATAAAAACACATTTTTTAGACTAATTACATAAATAAAGGTCTTATATATATATATCCCAACTTATTTTTTTATGTGATTTCAAAACTTAGTTATCATAAATATTAAAAATCAGGTTTGATTTAATGAATTAATTTTAAAATTCACAATTTAAAGCTTGATTTAGGCTTATATTTTAAATTAAATAAAAAACTGTATTAGGTGAATCTCAATTAATCTAATTAGATTTTTAATAACAAAGAAGCAAACAAACAAATAAAAGATACTATTTTAATAAAACTGAGAGCTCGTGGATCGATTCAATACCTGAAGTGTGATTTTAAAGGCGTCGCACGTCATGTGCAGCCAATGGTTTTCTGTCACGATTGTGGAATTTAGTGTGGACCCACCAATTACAAAAAGATGCTTCACAGTTTTGTAGGCCCCACTAAGGCACGAACTATAAAAGGCCTTGGCGGCGGGGAAACTTCTCAACCAGTGCACATCAACTTCTCCGAAAAAAAAATAAGAAGAAGCTAGCAATGGAAAACTTCAAAAAAATTTGAAGTTCAAAGACGAGGAGGGGGGAGTGTGGACCTTTCGTTGTGAAGTGTCACCAGGAGGGAGTCCAAAACCAGCCCTTTCTGGGGACTGGTTTTCATTTGTTCGTGAAAACCGTCTCAGGACCGGCGACGTTGTAGACTACAACGTCGCCGGATAAAGAGAAGGATGTAGCGGATAAAGATTAAGATTAAGAAATCAGCTTTAACGGATCATGATCAAAACTAGTGATCAGGTGCTATATATATCTAGCCTGTCGCATCAAACTACTGGGCTTGCTTGAGCTAATCATCAGTAAGATGGTGCAAATCTTGAGAAGACAGAATCTCATATACCTCGGACTCAACTTCGACCTCTGGTTACTGCGTGTTTAGTACTGTGATAATTGTTATGGATTGTGATAATTGTTATGATTATGAACTGAAAAAAATTATTTTATAAAAAATATTTTAAATTGAGATTAGTTTTAAAACATAAATATTTGATTAAAATTATGGTTAAAATTAAAGTTTAAGAAAAAATATTTTAATATGTTTGGTTAATATTAAAAAAAAATATTTTAATATTTTTGATTAATAATGCTTTTGAAATTGAGTTTATAAAATAATTTTAAAAAATATATATTAATATTGATAGTTTTAAATTTAAATATTGTTAAATTAATTACATCTATTATATTATGAAATAAAAAATAATTTATATAAAATATTTAAATACTTTATATAAAATATTTTTTATTATTTCATTAAACTATTTATAATTCTATTATGTAGAAAATTCATCCGATAAAAACTACAGTTTTTATAATTTTTTGAGCGTAGATAAAATATTATCAGGTATAAAATTAATATTACAGTGTGAATAAATTTAATTCACTCTATACTAGTTTTTCAAGAAAAAAAATATTATTTACATCACAGTAGTTTTTTATAAAAAAAATTAACACTAATGTGAATAGTACAATTCACATATCAACAATGATATTCATTACTTTTTAGGTGAATAGTGTAATTTTTTATTATTATTCACGTTAACAATGTTTAATATACACTATTTATGCTAATTATATTATTTAATGAACAATATAATTAACATGCACAAGGAAAAAATAGCATTTTACTGCCTTTTCTTTTACTGCATATCAAACACTAAAATATATAGGCTCCATATGCAGTAAAGTGTATATTTTTTTTTTATCAAATATCTACAAATTACGTTTTAATTAAAACACAGCAGCAGTGACAGCCGCGTAGCCAAACAAGCTCGGGCTCTGCAGTGGCCGGTTCTTTTTATTCTCTTTCCAAGTGTCCCTATCCTGCGATACGGAATTGCAAAATTGAATTGTTCTTCTTCTTTCTTTCCTTTCGGCAGCATCTCTAACCGCTTAATGATCAGACTGATTAGCTACTGTATATAGGGCTTCGACGTTTTAATTCACTGTAGAGGCTGGGATCGTACCCTTATCTTGGGGGTGAGCTTTTGCTGTGCATTTGCTGTTTGGTAATACAATTTTCCCTTTCAATATGACTAGAGAATTCTTAATTCATATCTTCGCTTCCAGATAATGCTTGGATAAACATAATAAGGATATTCACAATTTGGATCTTACACACATAAAAAGTAGGTTGGGATTCAAATTAAACCTCTTCTTTCCAAGCAGAAGATCACTGATATTAATATTAGTTTAGTTACGGTTCATTAACACAGTCTGCATGATGAAATTACTGTAAATGTAGACATCATGACAGATAGTGTGGCTCGAACTTGGGATGGCTGAATGGATTGTTTGGCGATTATTGATGAACTGTAAGCTTAGATTTCAATAACTTTGTAGGTGATTCGACAACGGTTGATTGTAAGCTGAGTGTGATGGATTGTTTTCTATTTCTCGATTCTTTCTCTCACCCCACCAATTATTTTAGTGAATTTTAGAAGTTGGTGGTTAGATCATCGTGATATTAATTAATAGTTTATCGCCATGAACCGCTTTATGTCTCAGGGAAGAGCATTGATTTAGGCAGCAAGCGATATTTCACAAATTTGCGGAGTGATCATATCATTATCTTCGGGGTGAACTCTTGCTGTGCATTTGGTATTTGTTGATACAATTTTTCCTTTCACAAATTGATGATATTAGCTTATTCTAGTTTATTGATATAGCATGGATGAAAGTTATTACACTCAATTTAATCTATAACCCCATATAAAAAACAGGATATGGGTAATTGAATGGTTTGGCTTGAGCTTATCAATTCAAAAGTGGTTGTTTCAAGATTTTTTAAAAATAAAATAAAAGAAAGTTCTTTTTCTCCAAGAAAAATCAAACCGGATATTGATCATCAGGTTAATAGAGTTAACCAGTTTTTATTAAATTTATTTCATTCAACTTAATTCAAAAATCAATTTAGGTTAGATATTGAGTTGATAAGCCATTTGATTGACCCATCAACCTGTATGGGTTTAATAATTCTAGTTTGGATTGGAACGGTACACGAACAACAAAAGAGTGTGTGGTTAATTCAGGCTTAGAATGTATTAACTATTACCGATGGAATTACTAACAAAATATTTTTGCATGTCTATTCGTCAGCAATTCAGTTGGTATAATTGATACGTCATTGTCCAGCTTTCTCTGTTTGAA